AATTAGGTTTGACGCACGAGTACAAATTTTCAAATCTGGTTTGTTGAACCACACATCCCAAAGTAAATTCACAGACGGAAGGAACCGTAATAGTTGTTATTATCATTTTTTTGTCCAGACCTGATTTTTACAAATTTAGGTTTTTGACCATATGGCTATTAGCTATCTTCGCACAGGCAGATCACATCATTTGGGTTGAAGGCTCTTACTCTGATGCCAAGTTAGAATACAACCCACTAGTATGCTAAATTTTTTAGTGTAAGAAAGATCAAGGTATAGGAAGAGAGACAAGGTTGGAGAGATATATGAGAGAGAGGGAGAGAGTCACGTGAGGAACAAAATAGGGAATAGTCATGGTGGTGTCCTCATAGACACCCACGCTCCACTGAATCATTTATTTTAATAATAAAAGCATGAAGTACAAAAATGCCCCTTAAGAACGTAAAATGACAAAATGTCCTCAAGGGCTTAAATACAAGAAGAAATAGATAAAAACTTGATTATTCACAGCACAAGTCCGATGCACATATCACTATAGTGCAAGAGGGACTCTCACTATGCACATGTACATGTACCCTTTGCAAGGATGCTTTCTGATAATGCGGTTGTCACATGTAAATATTGTGCGGAAGTTTGTTGAGGTTTTAGCCCTCGCTCTCACAGGCCTACATCCACACTCAGAAGACCACGAAGTACTCTTTGTGTACAAAACATCATTGGGCATCTCTCTAACCTCAGCAAGGGATGACCTTCTAGAAACCCTCAACGGTAGCGCCATATGCCTAGGGGGTAAGGGTTTTTGATATGACCTAAGCCATGGACCGCCTAACCTAGGTCAATCAACCAACACACAACTCCTTTTGAAGTGTGTAATCTGCTATTTTACATAATCTCATGGCCCTTTAAAGCCACAAAAACCCCTACAAAAACTTGTACCAAGAAGAGAAGAAGAAAAGGAGTGGCATAGATTGCAAGATTGTTGTGTCATTCCACTCAATTGATGTGGACACCCATATTCATAGATATATATAAGTTTTGGATTAAGAGCAATTGATGTGGACACCCATACACATAATAGTGCTAATAATACATCAAGTCAGTCCGTTTGCTTCTAACTTATTTAGGCATTTAGATTATTGCCCACTCTTCACTCGCTTGAATAGACACATTAGATGGATGGTGAGGCAAAAAGAACAAACCTGTGTCCTAAGTACTTGGACGCTCAGAAGACATGAATGTCATTAATAATATGGTCCAATTTGCTTAAGTGTATTATTTGTAGGCTACAATTTCCTTCATACAATATGACCATTTGGTTAGAAGAACAGAAGATAATGACACATAGGCTACCTGATGTCGCTCTTTAGTAGGCTCAACACATTATATGTAGGGACATGGCAAATAGATTATGTAATTATGCTTAAATCCTGATGATACATTCCACTAGGAATCCCCAAACATTTCTTAAATATTAGATTTAACTTCATGAAAAAGACTGGAATCCTAGATGAGCCGTTACTCCAAAATGGGTTGTAGAACCATCTGATCTGCAAGTGCATGTTTCAAAGGAATCCTAGATGAGTTGTGTCTTCATCCCTCTAAAATTTTTCTTCAATTTATTCTTGTAACTTTAAATGCAAAGGTTTATTTTCATGCTTGTTTCTCTGTACTTACAGGGGCTGTAAATAGGTTGGGTTCGGTCCAGATCAATCTCGACCTATAGGGTCTAGGTGAGACCTTGGCCTGACTTAGACCCAGGTCGGGTCCAAATTAATTGGACCTTGGAACTGACATTGATGGGTCGGATCAGGTCAGTGTCAAGACATCAAATGTTGTTGAATGTTATAATATTATATTTAACATATTTTTAATATATAAGTTACATATTATTAATATACAAATATATCGGGGTCAGTTTGGATTGTAGCGACCTAGGCCCGAACCTTGGTCAGGTCCAAGTCAATTGGACCCAGACAAGACCCGCTGTGTCAAGGCCTAGACTTGGTTCAGGTCGAACCGATTCCCACCTAGTACTTACTAGAGTTTCCCACTAAGTTTGCATGTTGGAGATTGTGTCTGTTTATCCGTATCTCTTTAGTTGTATTGCATAAGTTTATGTCTTGAAACTAATTACAATAAGCAACTGGTAATTCTCATTAAGTCGACCCCAAATAGTTGGGTAGGCTTGGATGATGATGATGAATTGGTAATTCTTGATACAAACATGAATAGGGCTGTATATATAGGTGCTTGAGTTGGAATTAACTTTTCTACAGTGATAACAATGAAATCTGTGACTGAACTTGTAATGTGAGTCTCTTTTCCTCATTTGAAGTTGTTTTCATTGATTAAATACTTAAATGAGCAGCTAGGACTTCCTTTGTAGCATGACAGTTTCCAGTTTTCCATGTAAAACTAATGCGGGAAGGAAAGTTGGGAAATCAAATCCACCTTTTTTTCCCTATCCTCAAACAAGTCTTCATCATCATCATAGCTTTTTTCCAATTAATTAGGGTTGGCTACACAAAACCTGGTCCACCATTTCACTCTATCAAAGGCCATACCCTCAGTGAGGCCATAAATCCCCATATCTTTTCGGATCACTTCCAACCGCATCCTTTTGGGCCTACTCCTGGCCTTTTTCAGTCCTTCTGCTTCAATTCTATCCTCAAACAAGTAAATCAGTAATAAAGGAGAAAAATCATCTTTGTAAATCAAGCCAAGCGAAGAAGAAGCTCTCTCTTCTTTTCATAAAATAAAATTTCACTCACAAATAACATAAGCCTCCCAAATGTGACTTCTAACCTTTTATAAGGTTACGAAACCCTAAATTTAAATAGAGATCCAAGTAAACAACTGAGACTCTAAAATACCCCTAAACAATACTAAAAATACCCCTGTGAATAGTAACCTGTGAACAATACTCATGAAAGGTAACATGAACAATACCCATAAATAGTAAATAAAAAATATAAGAAAAACCCTAGAATCCCTAGAAAACTTAAAAACCTTAAAAATAATTCTTAAAACTAAATATAAATTTTTTGAAATTGAATAAAATTTAAAATTAAAAACAATTTTTCCCTTCATTATTCTCCCTTGGTTGGAGAAAACTCGTCTTCAAGTTTTAAAGTGTGTTAAGATGAATTCAACATTAAAACCACCTTCTTCAACTTTCTTTTTCTTTGTCGGCTCAAATATTATTCGTGGTAAAAAGAATTCCTCAAGAAACGGATCTTGATATGTATATTGAGGAATCAATGCAAATTTATCAAATATGCTTTATCCTTGAACTCCCATTGGAAACTTTTATAGGAAACTTCAAACCCAATTTTCTGGTCTTTAGAGGTTTTCGTGACCTTAATTTGCGATGTATGAGTCGACCACACTTCCACTACTCTACTATGATTCCAGTACCCTAAGTTTATTGAATGCTCTACCTCTTCGATATTAATGAGATCTTCAAAGGTCATGATTTGGATCAGTCCTTCTACTGCCTTCTCTCTATATTTTTCACCCTCTTCCAAAATATCTTCATCATCATCTTGATCCTTATTATAGATTGGATCCCCTAAACAATTTTGTAATTCATTGGAGTATGTATTGAAGATTGGTGGTGAATCCAAATCTATAACTTGCTGATTTTTTATGTAATCTATGTCAAAATCAAGAATCTCATCCTTCAAATAAAAAACCCTAGAGAGATGTTCCTCACCTCTAAGTCTTTTTTCGCTATCCTTATTACTTGACTCCCCATGAGGAGAAAGTGAGAAGGCTTGTACATGAGATCCTCTTAGGCTGAAAGATCACCGTCTTGCCCATTATTGAGGTTCACGAACTGCTGCATTAGTTGCTGAGCTTGTCTTTCAATTTCCTCAATTCTATCATCTCTGTGATCACGGAGCGGGTCTCAACCCCCCCTCCCATGGTCCCTTCTTCTCGTCAAGGTTGGGGAAATCACAAACCCTAGGCAGATGATTAACAAAAACCTACCGAAATAAGTAAGATCTAGTCTGATTTGGCAAAACTTGGGCCAAAATCAGCAAACCCAAAATTTGGTTGTAATTCGTTGGCCTTGTTGTTGAAGAAACCCTGGGCTCTGATACCAATTTGATGTAGGAGGGATAGGTGGAAAGTTAAATCCAACATTTTTCCTAATCCTCAAACAAGTAAATCTACAATAAAGGTGAAAAATCATGGCCGTAAATCAAGCCAGGAGAAGCAGCAGCTCTCTCTTCTTTTCATAAAATAAAATTTCACTCAAATAACAAAAGCCTTCCAAATTTCACTCAGATCCAAGTAAACATTTAAGATCCAAGTAAACATTTAAGACACTAAAATACCCCTAAATAATATTAAAATTTCATAAATACCCCTATAAATAGTAACGCTTGAACAATACCCATGAGCGGTAAATAAAAATATAAAAAAAACCTAGAAGCCCTAGAAAACTTAAGAACCCTGTAAATAAATCTTAAAACTAAAATTAAAATATAAATATTTTGGAATTGAATAAAAATTAAAAATAAAATTAATTTTTCCCTCCATGAAAAACTAAGTTCATAGAAAAAATAATTTTGCCCTCCATCAAAAACCAAGTTCATAGAAATGACTGAATATTGTTTTCCATCTTTTCAAAGTTTGATGTCCTAAGCATGATTTGAAACTAAGAATCATTTATCTTGTTGGCTTATTTCTAAAATTTCAAACCCTTGAAGCAGAAGAGGTGTAGAGTGCTCCATTTTGTCTTTATTTCAGTATCCATTTTAAGGTTGGAACTTAAAAGAATTTGATATCTTAGGATGTAAAACAATTGTCTCATTCTGTTGCTACTTCTGATTGTTGAAATTTGGAATTATGAATATGTTCCATGGGCTTTCTATTGGTTGAGGTCTGCATCTCATGCATCTAGGTAGCTAATGCATAATTGTGATGGTCAGAAATTCATGTGCCTCCTATCGAGTTTATTTTGCATTTAAATGGATTTTAAAACTGTCCAGGCCAGTACTCAAATTGGAGTTGGTGGACCTGATCCCTCATTGAATAAACTTTCAGAGTTTAGAGATGCATGTTGGAGATTTCTAAGGCCTCATACAATTCGAGGTACTGCACTTGGGTCGACGTAAGTTATTTGGATTCCTAAATCTATTTCACTTTCATACTTGCATTCTCAATTCTTTCCTGAATTTGTGGTCTGAAGTTTCCTCTGCATGTTCTTAACTCTTCTGATCACTTTTGCAGGGCTTTGGTTGCTCGGGCCCTGATTGAGAACTCACAGCTGATTGATTGGTCATTGCTACTTAAGGCACTCTGTGGACTATTTGCTCTCTTATGTGGAAATGGATATATAGTTGGAATTAATCAAATATACGATATTGGGATTGACAAGTATGTATTACATCTTGCAACTTGGGTTACACTGCACATGCTGATGAGAGAGATATGATTAAGTAAATGGAAATGAAATACATAGGGTAAAACCATAACTTTAAAAAGAAAGCTTTGTGATAATACACAATTTTTAAAAATTAAAATCTTCAAATTTCAAATTTCATCACGAAGGGGCATTTTTCTAACAATGCCTTCTTTGTTTATAATGGAATAATCAAATATATAATAGCATACAAAAGAGTCATCTTCTTTGGGTTCACCTATTCAAGCAGGGGCATTTTAGGAATACAATATGACACACCACCAATCTCCAAACCCACTTTTAGTAGAGATGATAGATTTAGTTGTACTACTTTATGAGTTTCCTTTTGATGTATGCTATTGTTTCTCGCGACCTTACTGAAATATTTCGGAAAGAATTTCTGCTGATAAAGAATACCATGCCAGGGTAAACAAACCTTTCCTACCTATAGCTGCTGGGGATCTGTCAGTTAAGTCAGCATGGTTGCTAGTTATATTTTTTGCCTCAGCCGGTCTTCTGATTGTCGGAATGAACTTTGGTCCATTCATCACGGCACTCTACACTTTTGGCCTTTTCCTTGGCACTATCTATTCTGTTCCACCATTTAGAATGAAGAGGTTTCCTGTTGCCGCATTTCTTATCATTGCTACTGTAAGTTCTTCACTAATATTTTTTGTTTTTTGTTTTTTTCTTCTGTTGTTATGGTTTTTGTTCTGTAACGATATTTGGAATATTAAGAACATAACTACTGTCTGAATCATTTATTCATTGGTTGTTGGACAATTTGGTAACTTCACTTTTCCTTTACAGCACGTCAAGTACCAATTATTTCTTTGATGATAGGCATATGGGATTACTTATCTACAGGGCTTTGCTTTTAAAGTGATTAAAGTAAATTGTAAAAATGAGTAGTCCATTGGCATTCTACGTTTGTATTGAATGCAAACAATTTTTATGAATTGAATGTTGAAATATTTGTGCTTCTTGGCTCATCTTTGGTCTTTTAAATCAAACTTATTTTATGGAGTTTGTGGGATATTAATATTATATTTAATCTTGATTTAATGTTCACTATTTACATGTCCATTATGCCAATGCTTAGGGTTGTTCTTGGTGCATTTTATTTTTTCATATTATGGTTTGAGATGTTGTATTCATGCTAAAGAGTATTTATCATTTTTTCTCATTACTTTGAAAATTTGAAATCTCCAGGTACGCGGTTTCCTTCTAAACTTTGGCGTATATTATGCTACTAGGGCTTCTCTCGGTCTCCCATTTGAGTGGAGGTGATATGTTAGTGGTTGTTTATTCCAGTTATTGATGAAGTGAAATTGTTTTATTTAGCCGAGAATAATAAAACTGGTGACATGTGTATCATTTTTGTTGTATCTTTGTCTGCAGTTTGCCTATAGTTTTCATCACAACTTTTGTAACATTGTTTGCTTTGGTGATTGCCATAACGAAGGATCTTCCTGATGTTGAGGGAGATCGCAAGTAAGTGCGGTTGTTGACATTTTGGACAAATGCGGTATTGTTGTTCCTTATTTCCTTTATGTGACAAGCTTTCAAAGGTTTTAATTGAATCTTGATTGCAAGTACTCATAGTTATTATTCAATGATGGTTGATAATGTTCTCAAGTAACTGCAGCATGTGAAGGTCTAAGGTATAATTGTATGTCTAGGACTTAGCAACTTTCAGTAGCTGCACTTTCATAATCTATTACTTCTTCACAATATTAGGTGATTGAATTGAAATGATTAACATTTGAAAATGCTACATCTCAAAAGGTGTAGAAGAAGAAAACAGTAGTAATCCCTTTCCTATAAAAGAGTTAAGGATGTATAGCATGCTTATGGCGGACTGTTATGCTGATTTCTTGTTAGATTTTGCATGAACTGGCTGACTACTGCTATTGTATAGTTAGACTAAGATAGATAAGATTGGATATCACATTTATGTATTTACTGACTTCCAAGGTAATGCGTTCTTTCTTTTATCCCCTTTCAATGGCAATGATTTATTAATAATCTAAGTTTCTCTCGGAGAGCAGTCCCTATTTCTTTGCCATCAAATTTTGTAATTATGTACTTATCAGTTTTTGTTATTACCAAAAATTGTATATTCTTTACAAATCAATGAATGCAGTTATTTTCCCAACTTTTTGGGGTCGGCTACACGAATCCTGGTCTGTCATTTTGCTCTATTAAGGGCCATACTCTCAATGAGGCTATAAGTCTACATATCTTTTCTCACTACTTCCAACCATGACCTTTTGGGCCTATCCCTTTCCCTTTCTGAGCCTTCCACTTGAACCCACTCACACCTCCTAACCTTGTCATTCTTTCTAGTAATTTTATAAATATTCAGGGTAGTCTTGTAATAGTAGCAAATGTTGAATGTTCTGAATGGGTGCATGCATTTACTTGCTGCTATGTTATTTATCGGGTTCATCCAATTGTGATATCCTTCCAGGTTCAAGATATCAACCTTGGCAACCACACTTGGTGTTAGGAATGTTGCATTTTTAGGTTCTGGTCTTCTGTTGGTAAATTACGTTGGTGCCATTTTGGCTGCAGCTTACATGCCTCAGGTAGATTATTTTTCCATGGATCCAATGTTTTTGACCTTTTCAGTTTGGAGTTATATGAGACCCCATACAATATGATTTTTCCTTTGGGTACAAAATGATTGTAACCATTTAGTCCACCACTTCAATGAAATTTATTTTTTCTTGTAGGCTTTCAGGCGAAATTTGATGATAGCAACTCACTCCATATTAGGACTGTCTTTGATATTTCAGGTTTTTTTTTACATATGGTTGCTTTTTAGTTTTTATTTCTTTGTGTTCTCGTTTCAGTTCAAATGCAATGATCCCCATTGCACAGAAAAATAAGTGGATGTTCTCATTTTAATGGCTTATGCTTCAAAAAGTTGCATGAACAAAGTCATGATATAAATTTTAAAAATTGTAACTTTATTTCTCTTTTGGAACCAAATCTGCAGTTTTTTGTGGACATTGATATCTTGTGTTCACTTTTCTATATTAATAATACTAAACATGTTGGTCCAATATGATCATTTTAATGTTGGAACTAATTGTGTTCTTGGTGAATGCTAATTATTTGTGTTTCTTTTTGGCTTCAGTCATGGGTGTTGGAAAAGGCAAATTATACCAAGGTATGACCTAATCTACTGATGTTTGAGTTGTGTTTTTTGAAAGAAACACATCTGATTTTCTTAGTGAGAGAACACCCTAAAGCTAACTCTGTTTTACTGTTAACACTAGGTTTTCTGTGCTCTTGTATTCTTTGCATTATAGATGCAATCAATTTTATGAATCCTGTATTATTTTCTTATTCTAGAGATATTTAGTCTTTTGAGATTGAAGTCTAGTTTCTGTCGGGCAACACAATTCTTTATATATTGAAGTTTTCTTTATATATTGAAGTTTTCTTGTGGTTTTACAATGTCATAGCCCAGGTTCTTCAAAGCCTGTCATCTGAGTGATTGCTTAGTTTATCATGAACTTCCGACAAATTTTCCCTCTTTTTTATGATATTTTTGGTTAGCATTTGGACAGTTTCATCCAGTTGGGAAGCTTTTAAGGGTTGGAATGCTCTCGTGCGGAAATTTTTCCGCTGAGTTTCATGTTGATCTGACAATAACTTGGAAGTTGCTGCATTTTCTTGTATATTGGGTTTAGTAATTTTCTTTTTACTTGAATTCAGTTCCAATATGTCAACCATTACGTGCTTGATTTCCAACTTTATGACTTCCTCTATTAATGACAGGGTGAGCATTTTGATCCAGTTTTCATGTTTTCAACATCTCCACGGGGAAAAATAATTTGTATTATAAGTAGCATAAGTTGATGTTTAATGAAGGTTTTAGGTAGATCCCTAGAGGACGACTTTCAAATTGTCTAACAAAACTTTTTTTAATTAACAAAATTTCATTCTTACTTGTTTCAGTACCATCCTCCTTACTGAATCTACTTCCTTGCAAATCCCTGATTCTTGTCTCCCTTTGCCCAGAGCTTTCACCACACATGTTTTCCTTCCAATAGTTTCCACTGATCATCTTCCTCGAAAGTGATCTGTGATCTTCGAGAAGTGCCACAACCACTTTCCCAGAAGGGCTATATTCATCTCCTTTATTTTCCTAATATCTGAACGCCCTAACCTTTTGAGCCTGCATATGGCTCCCAACTGACCAAATGAAACTTGCGTTCATTGGAGCTTGCTTTCCACAGAATTTCTCTCGATCCTGTCAACCATTAGCTTAGGCATTAAGACAAGAGATATAGAGTGGGTCAGGAGGTTAGAAATGGTTGATTTTATTAGATTAATTCTTCCTCCCAGAGAGAAGAAATAAGTCTTCCAAGAGGTCAACTTTCTATCGAATCTTTCAATTGTATCATCCCCTTGGTTCTTTGGAGGCTTCCCCACATCTAAAGTACTTCCAAGTATTTGTTTGGGAGTTTGTCAGTTCCATACCGCACCCTGTGAGTAAGAGATTCAAGTTCCTGATCTTCCACCCTAATCCCTCTCAATTTAGTCCTGGAGATATTGGTGCACAACCCTGATGTCAGCTCGAAACACTGTAAGAACGACCATAGGTTATCCAATTAATCTTCTTTTGGCTTGCAGAATAAACTTGTGTCGTCAGTAAACTACAAGTGCACACAACCTTTTATATGGGGATGTAAAATAGTTACCCCATCTACCTTCATGAAAATAACGTCCTCCCTCAGTCTTGCATCTTTCTTTCTCTTCCCGAATTCACTTGCAAGATAGGTAAAAGTAATTTCCTTAAGACAACTAGCACTGGAGTTCAACCTTGCATTGAACATCTTTTCTACGTAAGATGCCTTCCCCGCTTCCAGAAAAGTGGAGGTTCAGGCCATGGAGACATGGGGAAAGAGAAGGGGTGGGGGGAGAGAGAGAGAAAGAATACATGGATGAATTTTGGGAGATTGATAAATAGAGAATAGGTATGGAAGGTAGGGAGGCCTACATAGATGAAATTTGGGAGAATGATAAAAAGGGAAAAGTCTTTGGAAGGTCAGGAGACCCCCAACCTATTAAGGCTGCAAACGGGTGGCTTGTGCTCGACCAGATGGGGTCTGTGCATGAGACTCCGGATATGTATATATGTATGCCCGACCCAACCTATCAGACGGACTCCGGATATGTATATATGTATGCCCGACCCAACCTATCAGACGGCATGGCTTGTGCTCGACCAGATGGGGCTTGTGCTCGACCAGATGGGGCTTGTGCTCGACCAGATGGGGCTTGTGCTCGATCAGATGGGATTTGTGCATGAGTATGTATGTGAATGTGCCACTTGGACTCAGGTGAGTAATTCAGCCTCGCCCTATGGATGAAGTCTAGTTTCCTGAGTTGTGTCCCCAACTCAGGGATATAAAAAAAAAAAATTCGAAAAAATTCTTAAAAATTTAGAAATGTTGGATTGTTTTATAATCTTTTTTTTTTATATGATTTGGATGTATTTGGCATAGATTAGTGAGTGGTGTTTTTGCCATAATCACTATTTCTATATTTTTCCTCTTTTTTGGAATTTTTTAAAAATGTCCCAAACTAATTCACTTTTTTTTTTAAACCCATTTTTTCTCTACATGTTTAAATCAAAACAGTTGGTCACTTTTATTTTTTCAAAAATTTTCTATTTTTTAATTTTTAGTTTTTAGGGCTAAAAGGCCATGTGCTAGACTTGGCCAAACCCTGAGGACTCGGCCGAGTAACTTGCTGCGGCAAGGGGCGAGTCCCCTGGCTGGGGTGTGTCCTGGGACACTGTATATGTGTATGTATGTATTGATGTATATAGGTTTGGCCTGGACCCATATGCAGGTTAGGTTGATCTGGTGGCTGGTTTGATTTTATAGCTCTTTACTGCTTGTTTGGTGTACCATCTCACCCCCACTCATATGGCAGTTGGCTAGGCTTTCAGTATACTCGTCATGAGTACCATAACCTACCCCATATGCAATACGTAAAAGATTCAATGGGATGCAAACAACTGCATTTTCTGGCATAAAATTGGCATGGGCAAAGTTCAAATGTTATCTTTTGGGAAGAATCTATAAACAAATTCTTGAATATCCGAACATTAGCACTTATATGGTTAGAACCTTGCACAGAATCTCAGTACAAACTAGTAATGTTTGAAAACTGATATGCAATCTGGTTCATAAAGAAATTCATTGATATCCTACGGCACATTTGACAGCGGGGATCTGGAAAACACTAGGGATCTTGAAATCCTGTCTCCTGCAGTTTAGACTAATCTTGAAACTCTAGAGACCTGGCACTGGCAAGTAGCTTGCTTGATAACATGTCTAGATTCTTGTTGATCATAATATCCCTTGTTTAAGTCAACCTGGGATTCTGAGATTCTGGAAATTAGCCAGTTCGAACCCTTCATTGTGCAATTAATCCATGAGAGGTTCTTATTTGTTAAATACTAATGCGATCTAAATCGTTGTCCATTCATTGGGTTACTAGCAAAGTAGATGGCTCATTGAAGTTTTTGTTTTCACTATTGATAAATTGGTGCTGTTATTATTTATGTCTTTGTCTTAGCCCATCTCCATGCTCTAGTGAACATGAACACATGATATCCTTATCGTAACTGATTCACTCCCTTTCTTATGAAATACATAGTTGTTCACCTAATAATAATTCAAATATAATGGCACTATAATTTCCCTTGAATTTGAAATCATAGTTACCGGGATTGGGATCTGGACTGGTTTCAGGATTGGATCGGGTACAAGGAATCATGAAAGGCTAGACGGTCCCTAGGTTTGGGATTGCAAGTCCGTACACCCCAAAATTTATGGATTGAGATCCTAGTTTGTTAGAAAGCTCAATCCCAACTTCTAGGGATCAAATGATAAGTTCTATATGTCTGAGCTCCATTTGGTTAGAAATTGAGGTCCTGGAGTGCACTTATCTAGGGTCCCTAGGTCTGGAGAACAGTCCATGAATCCATATAATATTAGAAATAATTAATGAAATTTTAAAAATAGAATTATATGAGAAATTGATAGAAATGCAATCTATAACAATTTAATATTCTTGTATTCGTTTGACTGTTCTTTATATTTTAATTAAGTAATTCAAGGAAATTGAAGCTCTATAAAAAATTAAGAACATCCAATCATTGTATAAAGTTTTAATTTTTAATTCTTTGAGTGTAGTTTAGACTCTATGAAATGTGATGACAATCATGACCATCCATCTATGTTGAATATAAAAGGATTAATTAAGTATTAAGTTCAATATTAAAGAGGCCAAGAGGGACATGATAGTCTACCACCTTTGGAAATAAAATTTGTAAACAAAACATGCAAACTACTATATTACATAATGCTGTTCCCTCAAAGAAAAAAAGAGTATTATATAATACATAACTGATTATGCAAAATAGCCGTTGCTTAGCATTAAGTTGAAGCTCAAGGTCGAACTCGTGACCTATTACTAGAGTATTCAACACAGGGAATCTTCATGCCATGCTGGTGGAACCTCGGTTCAGTTTACCAGTGAACACTCAGATATGATACTAAGGAATTTGGATCCTGTGTAACTCAGGATTTCAATCCCTCGTAAGAAGGTTTGGGATCCCAGAGTTTAAAAATCACAGAGGAGCAAGACCCCCCTCACTAGAGGGGGATCAACCCCTTGGTTGAGAGATCCTGGTACCATGTTCCTAATTGTAAAATTGGTAATACAATCTTTCATTTATTCAATTCAGTTCATACAACTTGGTAATGCAATTTCTTTATTCAGTTAAAATCATACAACTTGGTAATATAATTCCCAAAAAATTCGAGTACTAATGGGAGATCTATTCCAAAGAGTCACCTAATTTGAATAAGTGGCTGGCATAATGGGTGGGAGATCCACATATCTGACTGGTGTAAGTGATTGGAGATACTCCAACCGTCATAAATGTGATCCCAACTCGCATAAATGAGTACCTAACTTGCATAACTGACTGACATAATTGATAGGAGTGACTCCAACTGACGTATCTCATCACATTTGATCTCTTACAATGATATACTCTTTCCCCACAATTCAACCACATGTGATCTGCATGCACTTAGTAGTGCTGTCCAAATGAGTAGAGTGGCTATAATTAATTGGGGCTACCAATTTCAAATGTATTTTCAAGTAACGCCTGTACTTGTTGTATCGCTGATGCACCAAGAATTTATTTCAGTTATAAACCCTTTCACCACTTGACTACTTTCTTGCATTCCATAAAACAAAAGAGAGAATTTGTATATATGACTGAATACAAGTGTATAGTGCCGTGAATTTTGTACAGATTCCATGATCTGTCTTGTCATGAAAATACCAAATTAATCTTTTTTATTTACTATACATACAAGTTATTGTCAGCTTAAATCAATGGACCAGGCTAAAAGTACAATATGTGCATCTGAAGCATAATAAATATCCATTTAAATGGGCTTATCAGCACTAACAAAAGATTTTAGGTTTTACTCACTCATGTTGAGAGGATGAAATCAGTAATGCCCACTAAAGAGCTGATGAAAACCCTAATAGCTTTATATATCATGAGGTTCAAACAGCTCACTTTGAGCTTACTTTTGAACTGCAGGTCAATTTCATAATACAAAGCAGATAAGAAGAAGGGAAACAAAGGCAATTCCAAGTAATAAAACATAATGATGATAGCATACGTAAAAAATGCAACATTATAAATCCCAAAACCATGCAAGTTGGACAACAGAATCCCTACTTCTGGAGGAACATCAATTGAAATGCAAGTTACAAATTCACATACCAATACAATACGCATAGAATTGAAAGGAAACACATACCAATAAAAAGAGCACAGAATTGAAAGGAAATACATATCTACAGTAGGAAGGGACGAAATTCAACGTAATAGGCACATGCAAGCAGAAAAATGAAGTGCACACTCAAACCTAATTTGTAACTTCTGGACTACAAATTTTTTTAACTTTTCTCTGGAGCATCCGCTGTGTGGATTGCCCAGCTTTTACTTCAATTTAAGGTTAAGTTTATAAAAATAAATAAATAAATTCTGGACTACAAATTCCTAGTTCACACCAACAAATTTGACCTCATAAATGAAATGCCTTAGCAATTTTTTTGCTTTGACCCCATCTCTCAATAAAGTTTATAGATTATACTCTGTAAAATTAGTAAACTCTATAGATTTTACTTTTGTAGAACTCCGTAAAATCTATAGAATAGTTTCTACCATGTAAAATCAGTAAAATCTATAAAATTTACTCTGTAAGACTCTGCAAAATCAGTAGCTTATATTTTAATATGTAAAATGCAGTAAAAATAATATATTTTCCCATATAAAATTCTGTAAAATATAAATTTTAGGCTGTCAAGTTAGTACAGTATAAATTTTCCTCTCTGTAAACTAGTAAAATCTGAATATTTTACTCGATAAAATTAATAAGATCCCCCACTGGTTTATCAGGCTATTCTTCACCGGATGTTCATTCAGATTGGAGAGTCTGGAACTACCGGTCTTTATCGAATAAATATCCTTCTGATGGTTCATTTAATCTGATTCATGCTTCAAGCCAGGAGCCCACCTTCCCATTTGACCTCTATAGCTATAGCTGGTGAGATGGGCTTGCATTGGAATTTCAAACACCACAACTGGACACATTTTTAACAACGATTCTAATTCTATAAATATCAAATAGATAGCAGCATCAAATTTTCATATCGGTGGTTGGGAAGGGAAGAAAGACTTTTATTGGACTGATGAGGATGGCTCGAGAAAGTCTATAAATCTGAATATTTTACTCTATAAAATTAATAAGATTTTTTTTGTTCTTTGTAAGATTAGCAAAATCTATAGATTTTTCCTTGTAAGAATCAGTAAAATCTATAGAATATTTAAGAGTAAAAGAAAAGGAAACGAATGAAACTTGTGTGTGCGTGTGTGTGTGTGTGAGAGAGAGAGAGAGAGAGGTCACATGCCAGTAATTTCTTCTTCCAGAGGAGAGAGAAGGCATAGAGCGCTGTCTTGATGGGTAGAGAGAGAGTAGGGGGAGAGGTCCTGGGAAAAGAGGGAAATGGTGTAGAGCTACTTGAAGTTTGAGAGAGAGAGAGGGCATAGAGCTAGCACAGAGAGGCATCAGGCTAGCACAGAGAGATTGTAGAGAGACGGAGCGGGCGAGATGAGCAACTATCCTTATTGTCGAATGTGCATTCAGTTATGCATAAACTGAGATGTTTATTAAATCCCTTGCAATGGCATTAGATTACCTTTATCTCTTTGGCCTGTTGGCAAGGGAAGAAACAACCCTGCCCTCTGTTGCACCCTTTCCCTTATATTTACGAAGTGTCCTATGAGATGATAGTACACCATATTTGCCAAAGGATGAAAGTGCTTATGCACACCTAAAACTCGAATATCCTTCCAAGAATATCGATAAATCAAAAGTTTTGTTCATTGTGTTTTGCTTGATCACTTTTTGGTCATTATGTCTATTTGAAGTTGGTAAGAATTTAGTTAAAGAGTAAGTTGAAATTTTCGACACTATTGCGTTTGCATCCTAGGTAATTTCTACGTCCGGTTGATCTATGTATATAAATTTCTTGATATGTTTATCATGAGGTTGTTGTCTATCTGTGTATATATGTTTTCATGTGTGCATGTGCATGTGCATGCATGCAGGGATTATTCTTTAAGGCAGGTTACATTATTTTCTCAAATAACAATGATGGCTTTGTCTGATGTTAACACTTGAACAATTCTGTTGTCTTTTATCTAATATGCTCTCTATATCTTTAGTTATTGATAATGTGAAGCTAAAGCTATCTGTGGGCTCTCCTTTGGTTCTGGTGACTCTGCATTTGTATGCTCAGTCTTCAATCATTAAATGGAGAAAATAGAAAAAGGGTCAGGAAGTTCTGGGCTTTAGAGTATAATTTGTGAAAACTAACTAGTTTTATTTTTCATTTTGCAGGAATCAATATCAAGTTTCTATCGTTTTATCTGGAACCTATTCTATGCTGAATATATCATTTTCCCTTTTATTTAGCATGGGATCACAGTTGTATAATTTGATGGAAAACAACATCTTTTTGTATCCCTTTTTTTTTTCTTTTTGGAATTTTTTTTTACGCATGGACTGGAAACTACATAATTTGGGAAGCGCGAAGTGTTTGTTAATGCCCAGTTGAAATTTGTTGTAACAAATTGCTTCATGATTGAAAACATCTGAATCACCACTGACTCATCACAAATGCATGGATTCCATCTGACAACAGCAAATAATCTCATTAGACAGTACTGAAGAACATGTAGGACATGCAGAGGTCACAAAGATCTTTAGATCATTGTGAGATTTTCAATGGACAAATAGCACAAAGTGATGGAATCCGACTTATTGAAAAGTTATGTAGGACATAGTAAAACTAAAACATACCCATTGCTGAACAGTATTGAATGTGTTGCATCTTGTGATTTGATTGAAGACAACTGAATTGCAAGAAGTATCCCTAGGTTCCTTATTACTCCAATATGAGACATGTTCAGTCCCAAAGGTCCTTGGACATTGTAGCCATCTTTACCAAAAAAGCGGCACTACGGAAAACCTTAGGGTTTCATGCATTGGGTGAAAGTTCACTTCAATCCATAGGACTCTGGGAAACCATAGTCCAATGTGATTCTACAATGACACAGAGAGGACAATGATGCAGAGATGACCTCACCAGCATTCTCTCTCCATCACCATTCGCCACTTCCAACACCACTTTCATGGGGTCAGGTGAGCCATCAAGCTGTGGTTTTTCCGGAGTCCATTAAAATTGAATCCACTTAAAATATTTGTGAACCTAGCACTGCTTCCTCTACTCGGTGCATTCTATTTCCTTGAGACTTTGTTTCAATTGATGTGGTGAACTGGATGTGGTTGCTATCAAAGATATTTCCATATTGCTGGAGCATGCATGACTAATTTCTTGGTTCTCTAAATAGAATTGGGTGAAAATTCATTTCATGCTATGAATGAGATTAGCAAACGTAGCATACATTGATGAAAACAACAATCAGGGGAAGATTCAATCACTTCTTCCCGCATCCAACCACAAGCAACAGTAATTCTCGCAGGGGCTTATCCAATCGATGTTGGAACACAGCATTGCCTCAACACGATCTTCAGATTGTATCCTAGCAGCTTGCAGCATTCTCTCCTAATTAATGTTCTTTTTTCACTCAAAATTTTTTGATGCATGTCTCTAATCATATTCATATCGTAGTCAAATTGAATATTTACTATCTAATTCAAATATATCAAGTCAGTGTTCATGTTATACTGCAGTCGATACCTCAACAACTTTCCTGTATATGGAGCTGAGCTTCATATTTCGAATCCCTAGCTACACTCTTTCCATATCTTCCATGGAAGATGGCTAATTTCTTTGCACTATATATTAAACTATACTTTTTTTTTCTTTTTCTTTTGGTTTTGAAATAAGAAAGCAATTCTTGATTTTCTATACTAATTTTACTGGAGCATGGAAAGATGAAAACATGTACATCACAATTGCTTGGTCTGTCTTTTCAATTGATTGAGTTAATAGGGAAGTCTTTTGGGATGGGGGATAGGAGGAGCCTTAAACCATTTTTCACCACTCTTACCTAACCCATAGCTCCACACACCAAACAAAATACAGAGATCTTAGGGGATCTTTTTCAACTATCAGATGCTTCCTCAAAAATATCTTCAAAATACCAACATTGCCCTTGTTCAAGGTTGATAACAGTGAACAAGCAAGGATTTTTAGCAATTTGACCTACCCTTAATTTGCAGGAATACTCTTATCATTTGGTGGGAGCCTCTTAGGTGGGTCAAATTGTTAAAATGATTTTTTTTTGTTCAGGATTCTCAAACTTAAATAGTGCAATTTTGACATTTGGTAAGATATTTTTTGACGAGTTACTTGAGTGAAATATAAATAAAAAATAAAATGGTACCTCATAGGTAAAAAAAAAGTGAAGTATATAAGGACACTACATACCGCTCGGGCAACGATATCACTATTCATCCTCGATTGTTACGTATGAAATAGGCCAATTAGGGGGGTATCATTTATTGATGGATTCGGTTTATGGATTGGGAAGAGGAGTGGTTCTTCTAATAATTCTGTTATCTGGAGAACTATATTTCTTTGTAAGCCGTTGATTCAAAGGAATATTGGTAGGGATGCATCCGTAGCTGTAGAGGTAAGGTGCGCCTTCAAATTTTACCATGGTATATAATTTTGATGTAAAATGTCCTATTTCTGATAATAAAATTTTAAATTTCAAAATATATTTTTATATCTAATTATCTCAAAATATCTCAAAATATATTTCTATATCTAATTATCTCAAAATATATTTCTATATCTAATTATCTCAAAATATATTTTTATATCTAATTATAAAATTTTAAATTTAAAAAATGGTTAAAATCAAGTAGATCTATAAACATATGAAAATCTTCAAAATGGAAGGTGTAGATAACATGTTGTAAAATGCACTATTTCTGAGACTTAAAATCTTGTTATTTTTATGGCCATACATTTCAATGTCGAGATGATCAATCAAAGGGTTTTTCAACATTAAAACTACCTTTTCCGATGGATTTTTGAGATGCATCCATAGCTCTACATTATAAGGTTGCAACCTTAGATAAACGTTTTCCTATTGGTAATGGCTTCTAGATCTCCTTTTGGAATTATAAGTTGATTGAGGAATGCTCCCTAAAAATAGCTTTCCCGATGGTTTTTGGTAAGTATCGTAATCTTAATGTCGTGGTCTCTGATATGTATCAATGTAAATGTGAGCAAGAGTATGGAATGGGACTCCCTTATAATAGGATCAATGACGATCTATATGCGCAGCTGTTATCTCTTATGGAAGTTCTGAATGGTGTGTATCTCTCAAATAGAGCGGAAGACGAGATCGTGTGGAACATAGAAAATAGAAAATGATGGCTTATTCACGGTCAAGTCTATGTATCGGTTATGTTTTCATGATTGATGGAGATGGTCTCTACGGCTAATAGCACAAGTTTGAAAGTGGCCAATCCCACATAAAGTGCAAGCCTTTGTTTGGCAACGCAAAATAAGATTTTGACAGTTGACAATTTGATAAAAACGGGGAAAATTATACCAAGTATTTGCATTATAGGAAAGTAGGATGGGGAAACCGGTGAGCATTTATTTCTACATTGTCCTTTTGTTTCGCAGATATGGTCACTACTATTTTCCATAATAGGAGTTAGTATGGTGTTACCTCATAATATTATTGGGATCATCTCTAACTTTATGTTGCTGCATTGCCAAAAGTGGGGAGAATAATTTGGTAGATTGCTTGAGGAGCAGTTCTGTCGGAATTATGGAAACAGAAAAATAGAAGAGTCTTCGATGGAGTGGGACTACTGCTGGATAGAGTGATCAATAAGATGCTTCATACTATTTGGTGTTGCTTATCAGTTACCAAAGATGGGTGTGGTATCTTGGAAGTTGATGTGATGATGAATTTACACAATTTGTTTCAGATGGGATATATGCATGGAATCCACGGATGGAGGGAGTTTTTAAACTGATTTTTTATAGGAGTTCCTTAGGAAATCTGTAGTTGGCAGGTTTTGGAGGTGTGGTGAGGAACTCGGTAGGTGCAGTATTGTTCTCTTATGCTGGCGTGCTTGGGGTTAGAACTGCTAATTTTGATGAGATTTTAGCTTTATATCATGGATTAAAGCTCTTTATTAGCAAAAATCTGGGAAGGTTTTATGTGGCTGAGGGAAACTCCTTAAATGTCATCAAGTGGTGCAAGCGAAAGCAGAAAGTTCCGTGAGAACTCGAGCCTTATCTTCTGTAGGTGATGGATTTAGCTACCTCTGTGACAGTGACTTTCCAACATATGTATATGGAATCAAGTGTTGTGGCTGACACCCTTGTTCGGGGTGGAGCTGCCTTATCTTCTATCCTGGTGTGTACCGATGTAACATCTTTTCCATTTGATTAATAAAGATAGAGAACTTTGGTAAAAAAAAAAAAAGTTCAAAAAAAAGAAAAAAAAAGAAAGAAAGGAAATTCTCTAATTTCATGAGATATACCCAATGATCTTCTTGTAGTAAAAGGAAATTGTCTTATAATATACAATTCCAAAATGGGAAATGTCAATTAGAAAATAGCACCTTGGTTAAACTTAAGTAGGGGTGGCAATGGAACCGACCTTGATGGGTAGACCTGACCTCGGGTCCAGGTGTGGGTCCAAATTTGAGACCCGAATACTATTTGGGTATAGGTTCAACCGGACCGGACCCGTACCCATAGTCATAGGGGTATATAATGGCAATCGTGTGTTTTTAGGAGCGTCCTAGGTGTTCATATTGTCACAATATTAGTAATATTTACAATGATATTGGGAAAAAAAAAACTTCATAGTCATAGGGTATATGATGGTAAAAAAAAGGAAAATATATACACACACGAAAAAAGTAAATAAATAAGGATTTTTATGTATTATATATAGGCTAAAAAACTAACATTCTATGATTGAATAGAGGAGGTCCAAGTTTTGCATGCTCAGATTTAAGTGTTAAGAACTCCAAATCCAAACTTCTTTTCATAAATATTCATGTGGTGATTCCAAAGTGGATTTCAAAATTTAAGATTGGAAAAATCCTCGTAAGTAGGTCTTTTTCCTAATGAAGAAGACGTATAATATGTTTCCATGGGAGCTTGATACACGAACCCTAATTTAATAGTCATTATTATGATCATCCAAGCCTTATTTCAATCATCACACAAATAAAAGAATTGGAAATATTTTTTAATAGTCATTATTATGATCATCCAAGCCTTGTTTCAATCATCACACAAATAAGAGAATTGGAAATATTATATGCCATGCAAGCATTTTAGGACCCCAAAATTTACACTAATATCTCATGTTACTTGTGAAATTAAAAAAGTGTCCCTAATATTTCGTAGTTTACGATGGTGTCATTTTTTCCTTGCATCGTTATTTTTTTCTAGTAGCCTTGTTTCTTAATCGCGGTTTTTATTTTTATGGTTGAGAGATTGGTTTGGAACTTGAAATTCCAATTTGATTTTGTTCGTTACTCGGGTGGTTTAAAACGGTTTTCCAGAATTGGACGATTCAAATAAAGAATCGGCTAGACCATCCCAAATCCAGCCATAAAATGAAATTCGCCAACATCACGATTTGACGA